CCCAAAAACCAAAAAACAAACAAACAAAAAACCCCACAGCAAATATAATTAAGAGGTTGAAAAGGGTTTTTATTATTGACGACATTTTGATCACTGAGAACTGCATTCAGCACTGTTGAAGTCTATCAGCAACAGAGGAATTTCAGGATTTAAAACAGTGTGTAGAGTCCCTACACAATGGAAATGCTGATATATTTGTAACACACATGGCAGATTTAATTTCTGAAAGACTGACTTTACAGTTAAACTGGATCTTGCTTTGCTTAGACAGAGATGGTCAGTTTGTTATCAAAGGTGAACAGCAAAATCCAGTGGTACCTCTCAGGAAACACAGGTGGCCTCATGAATCTGATTTCCTGCTGCTGTGGGAGCTCTTGGAGAGGATTTCACTTAAAGAAAGAAAAGGAAGTGTGGAACAAAAGGTTCAAAGAGGGACCCTGAAAGCTCATTCTCATCTCTTTCCACCAGCAGAACAAGGTGGGTGTCTGGTGCTTTGGCTGAATGGGGATCACTGCCAACTTCTACCTGGCAAAACAAAGGAAAACCTGAGGGTCCAAGATGCTTAAAAGAGTCTGCATGCTGAAGAAGCAGGAAAAATTCTTTGTAACTTCAGTATAAGAGAAGTGGTTACTAGAGCAGAGTGTGAAATTACTGCAGGTGGGTGTGAATGTAAGAGAACGAGGTAAAGTTCTTCAAGAGTCAAAAGATCAGGCTGTGAATGAGCCTGTGAATGCACAGATCAATGACCCAAACTAATGCTACTGTGAGCTCCAGCAGCTCCAGCTGGCTGCAGCATCCCTAACACATCCAGGACAGACAGGGAGGGCCCTGGTGAGGGAGGACAGGGGACCCATCTCCCATCACAGCGCCCAGATGGGAGAGGAGCTGCTCTGTGTGAGGGTCTGTGAACACTGGGAGCAGTGAATGCAGTTAAAGGTTTTCATTTTGCTGTTCACCTTTGTGCTGGAGCTGTTCCCTCCAGCAGTGCCCGTGTAAAGCGAGGGACAAACATCAGGGCTGACACTGAATAGTCAGAGGGGGTGGAAAAGGTGCTGTGGGTTCCAGTTACCCTTTGGGATCTTCCCATCGAGCTGCTTTAGCAGGAAGAAGCCCTGAGCTTCCATCGGTTCCAGCAGTTTCACCAGGCTTGAAGCCTCATCTCCATCACTGCTGTTGGAATCTGAGGGATCCCAGCTGGCACTGGGGAGTGGCATTTCCCTGCTGGCACTGGGGAGTGGCATCTCCCTGCTGCTGGCAGTGTGCACAGCACCCAGGGCGTGCTGCAGCCACTGCAGGCGCTTCAGCCCCTGCACCGCCCTCCCTTTGTCGTGCATGAGCTGGTGCTCGGTCACTGCCCTCCTGCTGCAAGGGAACAAACACCAAGTCAGGGACAGGAGGTGCTGGTTGGCATCCATCCATCATCCATCATCCATCATCCATCATCCATCCATCATCCATC